TTCTTTCTTTTTTTCTGTTAAGAAACCCTTTAGTGTGCAATTAAAAGTTTCACAGGTAGCTTTTTTTTAATTAAAAAAGAAACAAACACCAAGAAAAGGTACAATACAGTACAAGAAACTTTTTTTCCAGAAATTTTGAGAGTAGCTGACATAATACTCTATCACCCTTGAATACGTTAGTATTTATGTTCTACTGTCTCCTACATAACCACAAAACAGCGATACAAATCAGGAAATGAACAATGATACCTCACTACCATTTAATCCTCAGACCCCATCCACATTTCTCCATTTGTTTCTCTAATGTCCTTTACTGCAGGAGGATTCAGCTCACAATCACACACGGTATTTATTGGTCATAACTCTTGACCCTCCTTCAGTCTGGAACAGTTCCTCAGTCTTTCATGACCTTTACACTTTTGAGGATTACAATTCAGTTGTTTTGTAAACTGTTCCTCAATTAGAGTTTGTTTTCTCATGATTAGATTCATGTTATGCGTATTTGGCAGGAACATCACAGAAATGATGCTGTGCTGTCTTCATTATCAGGTGGCACTTAATTTTCATTTGTTTCATTACTGATGATGATCACTTTGCTCAGGTACAGTGGTGTCTACCAGGTTTGGTTCTCTACTATTAATATATAGTTACTCTTCATCTTTAATATGTATTTTAGGGAGAAGCATTTTGAAACTTTATAAATATTCCATTCGTCATCAGACTTTCAATTTCCAAATGTCAATATGGACTCATGAATTTCTTTTTCTTTCAGTGGGTTATAATCCAGTACTATCACTATAATTTTGTGCTCCTTTGTCGCAGATTTGGCCAATGGAAACCCATCAGGATGATTTTTATATCTTCTTCATTCTGTGAGCATTTCCTTGCTTTCTGGTACAACAAAATGTTCCAGACTCATATTTTCCCTGCCCCAATCCTGGAATTAGCATTTCTCCAGGAAGCCTGGTTTCTTCAAGTGGAGAATGATATTTAGAAGTTAATATCTGGATGCTAGAAGCTGTTGTAGTGTCAATGCTCCCTGGTGCCCTCAGTGGACAGAGTGAGGAACTATATACCTATATAAGTGTGTATATATACCTATACATATACATATACATATACATACATTGATACCTATATTTTATATCTTTTTTATATAATAGAAGCCTGCATTGTTGCCAGTGTCCCCATTTCCAATACAGTACTACACGTTTTCATATTTGTTAACTCCTCTGACAGAGAAAAATCTGGCTCTCATGATCTTTATTATATTTACTTATTTGATCAATCCTTTATATAGCCAGTCATCCATTGCTACTACCATATCTTTCTCAGCGCAGATGCTCTCTTAGCCCCATTTGGGTTCTGAAATCCTGTACCACAGCCACTGTTCTGTGTGGACACTCCTCTCAATTGCTTGGGCTCTGACACCCCCATGCAGGGCTGCCTCTAATATGTGAGTGCCACCCCATTCAACGTTCTGACACTAGGCCACTCCCATGCCTATGAGTAGAAACTCTCCTCACTCCATCTGGGCTCCATGGTGCTAGCCCCCACTGTTCCCAGGTGGGTGCCTTGCTCACCCTGTTTGGCTCTGAAACCCCACACCAGACCACCCCATGCATGGATGCCTTCTGCACTACGCTTAGGCTCTGATGCCTCGTGCTAGGTTGTACCTTAGCTTGGATACCCTCTTCATCCCTTTCAGACTCCAGTACTCCAAGTCAGGCAGTTCTCCTGCCTGAACACCCTTCTTGCCCTACTCAGACTCTGACTTCCCATGCTTTCTGCCCTCTGTGTAGACTCCCTCTTCACCTCATTCAGAGTGCCCATCCCACATAGGCACACGCCTCATGCTGGTTGGTTCCCAGCAGCCTGCCCTGAGCTGCCCCCTATTCTTTGCATGGATGTCCCTCTCACCCATCTTGGGTTTTGACACCTATACTAGGCTACCTCTTTGCTTATTTTTAATATGTATGTATTTTCCCTGCTTTATGCTTTGCTGATAACATCTAATGGGTTCAGTGTTAAATTTTAAAAGTTAGAATAGAATGTAAGTACAGTGACTATATTTTTTTTAATTAATGTGACCAGATTATAGTATGGAATATTTAAAATCAGTACTATCCTAAACAGTGTTGGATATATAATTACCATTAAAATAAAGAACAAAGGTGATTTTTAATTTCTAGTAATGAAGGTTTTACTTCCTATTGAAACAACCTTAGAACAAATAATTGTAGATTCTGGACACTATGTGACAAAAACCTATTACCTGAAGACATTGGAAAGCGACAAAACCAACCTGTTTTATGGGGGTTTTTTGCCCAAGGGTAGGCCCCAGTTTTAGCCTTAGGGTGACCAACACTTGGATAGTTAAACCACAGTTTTACTGGCTTAAAAAATCATAGCAACCACAGGATCTGGGAAGTAAGGAAGGGAATCCTGGAATGGAGAAGAGAGAGAGTGTCTTTGTATAAATTCTCTGGCTGATCCAAATCTCTAGCTGATCCTTGAACTATACATATGTGGGTCAAATTCTGAGCAGCCCATCTGAGGCTAAAATAACAGAAATTTATGTTTCTGCAAGGGTGACTGACTTGTTTCAATTTCCCTGGGACTGTGAAAGTCCTATGACCTGGGAAGCCCTCTATCCCAGGCATACTGGGACATCTTATTACCCTAGCTGCTGCCTGTCACAAGTGAGACAGAATTTGAGTTTGAGCCTAGGCAAGTTAACTACACCCTTTAAAGAGTAAAATAAACAAGAAAAACTCCCATATTCTTCAAAGGAACATAACAGAATACAGAAATTCTGTAACATATAATTTACAATGTCCAGGGTACTATCCAAAATTATTAGGTCATATGAAGAAGCAAGAAAATGTGACTCATACTCAAAAGAAAAGGAAATCAATGGTGACTGACCCCAAGATACTGGAATTGGAAGACAAGGATCTTAAATAGCTGTAATAATTATACTCAAAGATGTAAAGGAGGGCCAGCCGAGTGGTGCGTTGGTTAAGAGCTGGCTTGGGACACCAGAGGGCCCCGGTTCGGGTCCCACATATGAGGGCCAGTGACCCTGCCCTCTGCAGTTAAGATGCTGAACAACAAGATGCTCAACCTGGAGCTGGGCTGCCGTGAGTCGCCAGCAAAGGCGTAGGCTGCAGCTCCTGCTGCAGTGGGTTGCCATGGGCTACCGTGTGTAACCAGCATCCAGCATGAGCAGCGGTCCAGAAGCTGGTGACTGATCTGCTTCACCTGGGAAGAGTGCAATGATGGTGCCAACTTGGGCCAGTGAAGCAACGTCCTCCATAACTAGACTGAAGAACAAAAGGACAGCAACTTGTCTGTTCCCCTTCCCCCAATTCCCCAGCGCTGTTCCCATCCCCCAATTCCCCAATAAAAATCTTTTTTAAAAAGATGTAAAGGAAATATGCTTGTAATGAATTAACAAATAAGAAATCTCAGCAGAGAAACTCTAAAAAAGAACAAAATGGAAAATTTTAGAACTAGAAATTCTGATACCTGAAATAGAAAACTCACTGGGCAGACTTAACAAATTAAGATCACAGAAGAAAAAGTAAGTGGATTTGAAGATGTCAATGAAAGTAGTCTGAACAACGGAGAGAAAGTAACATGGCGGGGGGAGTGGGGAAACAGAGCCTCAGGGAACTATGGAAAAATATGTAAAAGTTTAACATACATGTAATTGAAATCCTAGATGGAAAGGAGCAAGAGAATAGGGCAGAAAAAGTATTTGAAGAAATACGGCTGAAAATTTCTCAAGTTTGGTGGGAAACATAATTTTACAGATAAGAAGTTCAGTGAACCCAAGCAGGATGATTTCAAATAAAATCACACCTAAGCATATCAGTCAAACTGCTGAAAACCAAAGGTAAAGAAAGCATTCAGAAAACAAAGAATTTTACACACACACACACACACACACACACACACACACACCACACACATAACACGCGCACACACACACAATGCAAAACATCACTGATTTCTCATCAGAAACAATAGAGTCTAGAAGATAGTGGAAGGCTATCTTTAAAGTGCTGGAAAGGGGCCGGCCGAGTGGCGCGATGGTTAAGAACTCGCTTGGGACGCCAGAGGGCCCCGGTTCGGGTCCCACATATGAGGGCCAGTGACACTGCCCTCTACAGCTAAGATGCTGAACAACAACAGCTCAACCTGGAGCTGCGCTGCCATGAGTCGCCGGCGACGGCGTAGGCTGCACTCCCTGTGGCAGTGGGTTGCCATGGGCTACCGTATGTAGCCAGCAGCCAGCGTGAGCGGCCAGCAGCCAGCGTGAGCGGCCAGCAGCCAGCGTGAGCGGCCGTCCAGAAGCCGGCGACTGATCTGCCTCGCCAGAGAAGAGCACAATGATGGTGCCAACTTGGGCCAGTGAAGCAACGTCCTCCATAACTAGACTGAAGAACAAAAGGACAGCAACTTGTCTGTTCCCCTTCCCCCAATTCCCCAGCACTGTTCCCATCCCCCCAATTCCCCAATAAAAATCTTAAAAAAAAAAAAAAGTGCTGGAAAAAAACCTGTCAACCCAGAATTCTACATCAAGTAAAAATATCCTTTAAAATTGAAGGAAAAATAAAGACACTTCCAAATAAATGAAAACTAATTTGTCACACAGTGGCACTACTAAAAATGCTGAAGGAAGAAAGATGATTCCAGATGGGAACTCAGGTCATAAAAAAAATCAAAAGCATCAGAAATACAAAGATATGGGTTAATACAAAGCACTATTGTTTTCTCTTAATGTCTTTAAAATACAATTGCTGTGTAGATAATTCCTTTTATTCTCTTTGAGGCACTTTTTAGGAAGGATGTAGAAAAGGAATCATTCTGCTCTGAAGAGGAAATTTGCTGCTAAGGCTTCCAAAATGATATCCTCATTAAATTTAGGATGCTCAATTCTGAAAAGAAAGTTTACTTTAAGCAGCTAATATTTATAATCCTTTACTTTTCAGATACAAAACCAAACGTGGAACTGAAAAGCCCTCAGGAGCAGTCAGTGCCCACAGGTAACATCAGGTCTTTCCTCTCTAGAAATATAACTTTACTGAAAATACCAAAGAAAGAGGAACATTCTGATTGCAGTAAAAATGCTATGGAAATGTGTTGGGGGAAAATGTGGTTATCTCTTCCTGATACAAAAATAACTCATCCATTTAGATCATATAAGTAAGTTCTTTGACATCATAGGGCGGAACCACACACCCCGCCTAATGTTAATCACTGTTTCGTTTTGTTTTTCTTTTTTCAACTGATTGATTTGAATAAAGACAGTTTTTGGTGAATAACATAGTAGCTTGTATTTGAACAACTTGTGCTTTGCACTCTAGAGCAGTGTGATCAAACTTTTTTTATAAAGGGCCAGGTAGTAAGTATTTTAGACTTCGTTGACCACATATGGCCTCTGTTGCATATACCTCTTTATGCTTTTTATAACCCTTTAAAGATGTAAAAACCATTCTGCCTCCTGGGCTCATACAAAAACAGGTCATGGCTAGATTTGGCTCTTGCACTACAGTTTGCTGACCCCCACTCCAGAAAAAATTATGAACATTTAAAATAATTCATTTCCTAAAAATAACTTACATGTTTTCCCCATTGATTAACTCACTTTGAATCACAGCTTATACTATATTACAAAATTTATCACTTAACTGCCTTTTTGTGTTACTGTGAGTTGTAACCTTATATTTTAATTGAACCTGTACCTCGTATTAATTGTTCAGGTATGCACTTTGTGTTAGTCATTTCAGGATAGAGAAAAGTGAACCACTGTTTAAAACAGAGTCTGAGAGTTCCTAGAATATATGTTATGCAGAAATTAGAAACTTTACCTATTTATAAATCCAAACATGAGTCCATGATGACCACATTTTAAGGACCTCTTAGTGATTTATGGAATATGTTTCCATTTTACTCCTGCATTCCAGTAAAAGTCCTGCTCTATGTGTTCAGTCATGGCTTCACCTGAAAAGAATGTCACTGCAGAGTTTCTAGTCACTTCTCCTACTTCAGCCCAGCTTCAACGCTACAGGATTCAATGTCTGACTATTTGTTGTGTGTAATGGGTTCTCAGTAAATATTTCATTGAGTATTGCGAATGAGTTTGGTAGAAATTGGGTACCTTGCCAGCTCATTTATTTTGTTATCTTCTTTTTGTTAAGCTACCATGCTTACCTGTGAAATAATTCCAGCTACGTTGTCCTCTTTTTCTTACTTCTACTATTATCAGTATTTATTATACAAAATTATATTTCTGTGAAACTTGATTTTTAACAAGTCTGCTTTTTATTTAATCATGCTTTTATTATGTCTGCTCCCTCTCACTAAAGAACTCCCATAACACTTGGTATTTCCCTTAATCTTTTTTCCGAGTATACCTTTTAGACTTGTATTATTATCTTTTGTTTGAGTCTTGCATTGTAGTTGTGGGCTTACCTATGTCTGCTAAGTATAAGCTCCTTTGGGACAGGAATAATGACTTATTCATTCATATCTGTCGTTTTGTCAGCATTTAGTAAACGTTTGAAGAAATAAAGGAACTCGAGGGCCAATATGTTTTCCACAGAATCACACTTATAATGTGAATAGAAAGGGAACATAGGAAGCTTACAGGCTTCCTCTAAGGAAAGCATCTTTCCCAAATTGCGTTATGCCAGTATTTTCAGGCTCAGTATTGCTCATCACTACATAGTAATACTTCTTAGTCATAAATAGCAATAACATCCTACTGAATATTGTGAGTCATGCCAAAGGAAAGAGAATTTCTGTTTAGAAGGAACTTGAGTGCATTTTAACTCAGGTGAAAGAAATAGTCAAGAAAATCATGTTTAATGGAAAGCTGCATGAGCCCTAGATATATTTCTAAACTTCAAGAGTTTTCACATATATCCCATTTGAGGTATATGTGAAAGGGATACTGGCTACTAAGGGATTATGGGAAGCTAAAATGGAAGTCTCCTAAATACATGTTTATAAAAATCCTTTAAAGTTGACTGCATAATTAAAATTCTTTTTATCTCCTAGAAGGCCCAGTGAATTTGAATGACTACGATTTAACCAAACCTCATGCAACAGAAAATGCAGACAGTGCAGAATGCCCAGCCAATGAAGATGAAGATACAGGAGGTGAGCTATAGTGTACAAATTAGAAACTAATGATTATAGGTATAGTTGAGGCTTAACATGAAGAAGAAATCAGGAACTGTCCAAGGAAAACTTGCATTTGTGGATTGAGTTGGGAGTAATTCAGTTTTGTTCATTTTACAAATATTTGCATTTATTAATTTGCTATAGGATATCAGCAAATTTTGAGAATTTAAGGTGCTTTTTCAGTGTTCATGTTATGCTAACTTCATTTTTCAAATAATGTTTATTTTACTCTTTTCATTATAAAAATAATACATGTTCATTACAGAAAGTTTGTCTGGGGTGTTTTCCAACACCAACAATGAGTTCTCCAATTCTCCAGACCCCAACTGGGCGTCCAAAGATTCAATTCAATTCTCATACTAACTCCTAGAGTTAATGCAGAACCCACAGGGTAAGGGCTCAGTCTCACAAGACTGCCCTCGCTTCAGACACCAATGTCTCCAGTTTCCCTGCATTTCTGTCCAGCTTGGCTGCAAATTTAGGGTTTGCCGCAAACCTTCCTCTATTAACAATTTATTATAAAGGATACAACTCAGGAACAGCCAAGTGAAAGAGATGCATAGGGCAAGATATGGGATGGGAGAGCGTCCATGCCCTCTCTGAAAACACCACTCTCCCAGCCCCACAATGTGTTCACCAACCTAGAAGCTCTCTGAATCTCATTGTTCAGGAGTTTTTATAGCTCAATCTGCAGTCTCCCCTCCCCTTCCTGGAAGTTGGTGGATGGGTCTGAAAGTTCCAACCCCCTAATCACTGGGTCTTTCTTGTGGCTAAACCATCCTTAGGGCTATCTAGTGTCCCCACCCTAAGTCACCTCAGTAGCATAAACTCAGGTGTGATTGAAAGGGGTTTGTTATAAATAACAAAAGACTTTTATCAGGAAATTCCAAGGGCTTTAGGAACTCTGTTACAAGACTCTGGGACAAAGACTAAATGTATTTTTGTATTATACCACAGACCACCCTCTGGTCTTTGATCACAAATCCCTTATAGCAAAAGGATCAAAAAAGTCAAGAGATACTGGTATGGGGAAGGAAGAAACTTTCCTCTACCCTTCAGGGATCTTTCAGCTGGTCTAATAATTACATCTCCATGAGACAGATTAACAAGAACAGATAATCAAATTTAATTACATATGTACATATGGGAACCCCACACACATGAGAGGTTCAGAGACAGAAAGGGAAAATGAGGCACATTTGAGATTCTGAGCTAAGGATGAGATAAGGCACTTTGGGGCTTCAGAGGGTCATTGCAGGATAATAAGAAGAGCAGATGTTCAGTAATTAGTAGTTTGCCCTGCCATATAGATAGGTTAAAAAAAAAAAAGGTTATCTCTGATAATCTCGTACAGGCAAGCCCCCTAATTCACATCCTTCTAGGTAGTTAAGGAGGAGCCAGAAATTTCTCTTAAGCCTGCAAATTCTCAGTTAGCTTTAGCAAAATAATCTGCACACCGTAGAGACACATCTTGGAGTGACTCATTCTGAATATACGCTGGTATATTAGGAGAGTCACATTCAGTCATTAATGATTAGTCCAGTCCCTCATCATATGGGCACATGTCTCCCAAGGTGAGGCTACTCAGGTTTGCAGGCTTCCATTTGATCTCGTCAGGTTCCTAAAGCAGGAGTGGTCTCAGCAATATATGGCTTCACCTTTCCAGGCATCTTCTGTTGGGTTGTCGGAAAACTCATGACGTATTTTTTCTGTTTTTCTTTGCAAAAATGCGTCATGACTGTTCCGACAATCCAATATAATTGAGCTGAGAGACAATGTTATTCTCTTGCTCTGAGCCTCTCTTGAGATTTTAATGTAATATTGGATTTTCTTCATTACATTACCCACTGATTGATTCCTTTACTCTCAGCTGCATCCCTCCTACTCTCCATTTATACCTGAACTTTTCCACCCTTGGAAGGAACATTAGGTTTGGTCACTGTGCTGGTCTAGATTGCAGGCAGCAATACTAGCCTAGCCAGTGGCTCCTGCTCACTCCTAGTTGTATAGGGTAGACTTACTTAGGTCCAGAACTAGTGGGCTATTTTTACCACTAGGCAATATACTGTTAAAGTTACTGTTAACCTCAATTTTGCTAAATGGAGTGAAGGCACAACTTGCTCTATAAGGCCCTTAGGAATTCTGACATAAAGGCTTAAAATTACAGTTACAATTTCTTACTTAGGAATCATCCCAGTTTCTGGCACTTTTAGTTGCAGGCCTGGTCCTGTGACTACTGCATCAGATAGGAAAGAGAAAGTGGAGGTGATGTGGGGAAGAAAAAAAAGTATAGTCATCCTACCAATGTCTTCTTCCCTTGGGAAAAATTGCAGTCATACTAGCATCTTTCCCCACCCCTTTTCCCCCAGGTCCACCAAAAAAACCCCAGAGGAATCTATCTAGTAGGGACACTCCCTTATGTCAAGTGTGAGCACACACTCTTGAAGACATGTAAACCAGCCCTTTATGCCTACATCTCCCCCGGTCTTAAATAGCCAATGTTTCAGTTGCCTGTTTCAAACCTCTATGAAACTATTACTCTGAGGAGGATATCTCTCTGCCCATTGTTTGACATTATGGGCTGTAAAGTGTGTTTCTTGGTCTGAAAACCTGGGAGTCCAAACTGGTACAATATCTTCTGTTCCAGTTCTTTTTTAGTACTCTGACCATTTGCATCTGCCACCATGTAAGCAAAGTCTAGTCCAGAGTCAATGTCTATTTCATCAAAACCCATTTGTAGCCCCCCTGGAACTGTCATTGGTTCAGTGTAATCCACTTGTCAGCTATGTGTGAGGTCTTCCCCCTGAGGAATCTTACCCATAGCCATCCATAGCCTCTGTCTTTCTTGTTGACAGACAGAACAGTTCTTTTTTGAATTCTGAGCCTCAGAGTGTGCAAAAGAAATATATCCAGATTCACCCTTCTGCACTGCTGCATTCCCCAAATGTCTACTCATTTAATGGACGCAAGTGGCCACTTCAGCGAGTACACTGCGATATCCATTCATTGGTTCCAATGATGGATATTGGCATGCCCTACTTTAACGCACCCCTCATTTCCCATAGTGATTTCCATAGGGCAGTGCCCCATATGGGTGTCTTTTTATAGACCAGGTTTCCATTGTCCTTTGCCTATCCATATGGCCAGGTCATTGACCATGACCCATTAGTCAGGTAAAAACTGAAACAGAGGCTTTTATAATTGTGCAATTCTTCCATCACTGCTAAGAAAACGGTATGTAATTCATCTCACTGAGCTGAATTGTTTTTACCTTCTTCAGAGTGGTAGTCTTCCAAACAAGATATTGTCCATTTACCTTGGAACTGCCATCCATAAACCAAGCAGTTCTTTGTTGCTTAGTCAAGAGCTATCGATAGGGTATTGTCCCAGTAATGATAGGATCTGGCAGCTCCTCACACAGTTCCAAGCCAGTCCTAGGAGAAAAGAGACTCTCTGCTCATGAGTATCTCCTGCTAGCGTTCCACAGGTAGCATAATCCTGTATAAACTATTTCCATTTTATTATGGAACTCTGGGCACTGCCCTCTGCCATAGTGTATTTATCTGATATCACCTAAGACATCATGGGTATTTGAGATATTAAGATTGTTTTTTGTCCTGGCAGTCGTAGGGACAGTTTCAATTAATGTCCGATAGCAGCCTAGTAATTGCCCCTGAAATGGAAATCCTCTAGCCCAAAGCCCCAGTAGCAATTGATAGGAAGCACTCTCAGGCTTTTGCCATAAGCCTTATGCTCCTCATAGAGCTATCACACGGAATTTGTCTGTACCAGCACTCCAGCTTCTCTTTTGTGCTGTGTGGACTTGGGCAACCTTATCCATTTCCATTTGGCATGTTCAATTAATATCGCTTGAAAGACAAATTTACATGTCTTTATTTTACAGAAACACTTTCCCAGTCAGACACAATGTCCATCTTTATAATACATTCAGGTAAAAAGACACTCAGCCACTTCAAACATACCAGTTTTCCCCCAAACTTTTACCTTAATCCATCAACCCTTACATTTTTAAGTGTAACCTCCATTAGAATTCATCATTTGGTTTTCCAAACCTAGGTAGGGGAAGTGTTCCCCAATCAGACATAATACCCATTACCATTAAATGTTCAAGTAAGGGAGACACAACTTTTTCACATAAAGCCAGTTGAAATGTTTTTCACCCAGACCTCCATCTTAATCTTATTTACCCTTACATTTCTATACTCTCTCAATTTAATTGAAGACCCAGTTAGGGCTTCACCAACAAGTTTTGGTATAATAGTACATGAGGCTCCCATTTCAGGGTGCCCCAGAAACTTTTCTTCTCTACCCCATGACTATTTTACACTTTGATATGCAAAAGACTTTGGGTCCCTAGCAAGAGACAGAGCCAAGGGACCCTGGCCCTGGCCTTTTTGTCAACCTTTGTCATGATTAATCTGCCTATTGCCCCTGACAATTCAGATCAGATTTCTCATTGTAATCTTTGCCTTTTGACTTTTTAAATTGGGATGAATAGAGTGGACTTTTGGGGGGTCCTTTAACATAGGGGAACAAGCAGGAGGCCCCTTTAGTCCACCCAACCTTCACAATGCTGTATTAAAACCTTTGTTCCAACCCCATCAATGTTCATTTTATTTACCCCATTTCTTAATAACCATTTAAAAATTATTACCCTACTGAGGTGAGTCCCTTAACTTTCCCCTTTCTTTTTCTTCTTTGTTTTGGCCCTATCGATATTTCCTTTATTCACCTTATTTTTTAATAACTATTTATAATTTTCTACCTTATTGGGACAAGTCCCTTGACTCTCCCCTCTGCCTCTTCTCATTTTCTTGTTAATTAATCTAATGTTTTTTATTAGCATCTGTAAAACCCAAGAGGGGAAGCTGAAAAAGTAAATTCAATAAGGCTTCTCGGAATGTTGCTTGATTGTGCAGCAGTAAGGTTAAATGAGGTGCCATACAGAAGGGACC